AAAAATGCACCCTTCCTCTTTTTTTATGTCTTCAGGCCAATTGTGTGATGCACAGGGTCCATTTCTCTCTTCTCCAGCACTAGGCAGTCCTGAATGATGCAAAGAGTGTTGCTGACATGATGTCAGCCTCATTATCTGCATCATTGTAATGTGACAGGGGCACATTTGCATTGTTATGTGTAATGCATTGTAATGTGACAGGGGCAACATTTGCATTGTTTTTCAACACTAACTAAAGCTTCCACATTAGCAATGCAATGGAGCGGGGCAAAGGGGAGAGATGCAGAATCCCTGAAGCTGGCTTAATGTGGGGGAATATTAATCCAAGATCTCTTAAGCCAACAGTGTCTACAAAAGTGCCAACAGTAAAACACACACACACAAAATTGCAGTTCACTAAACTGGCCCAATCAGCAAGACAGGTGACATTTCTCTCACAGATTTGTTTTTACAGTTATATAATGAAGGAAGCTAAAAGGAATCAATACATATGATAATAATAACAATAACAACAATAATAATAATAATAATAATACATATCTGGATAATTACCCACGTCACAAAGCAATGTCCTACATCTTCAGGTAGCTGCTCATACTTTTCAAGCTCTTTTAAAAAAATGCTGCAGATAGAAAATAAAACAATAATGTATACAATTTGCTTTCTTTAACACTTGTTTAAATATAAAAAAAATGTAATAGGCATTTCAAGTGTACTGTTCAAAATATAAAGGGCATGTGTATAACAGATAAGTCAATGGCACCCCCAGGACAAATGAAAAGTGACATGTATAGAATAAACCCCTCAGTTAGATATCTGGCAATGAACGGAAACCAAAGCAACAACACAGGCTTCAATGGCTCAGGGATTATCTATAGTAACTTTGTCGGGTCCCAAAGAAAGACACTGGGATGGGTAGAGAGAGCAAAATGTAAAAGAACAAACACCACAGGAAATTGAAGAGAGAGATATAGAAAGAGTAGGCAGAGAAAGGAAAGAAGAGAAAGAGAGAGAGAGGAGAGAGAGACACAGCACCACACAGGTGAGCATTTGGTGTCTTCACAACAACAGTGAACCAGGAGGTGATGCAGGTACAGCATCCTGCAGAGGATCAGGGTACATCTCGCTCACAGGGACCCTAATGTTGTCCATATAGAAAATCCAAGGTGCCCATATGTCAGTACATTGTAGCTGTCCGTTGTGAAAATGTGCCATCATTTCCTCCAATCTCATTATAGAGCACAATTCAGTCACCCATTTTTAAATAATCGGAATCATCTTTGGGTTGCAGTGACAGGAATCAGGACATTAAACATTACCATGACTCATTGCCACATAGTATTGGAGCAAGTCTTTCTTGACACTAGAGACAGAGCCAGGGAGTATTGAAAGAAGAGATATCTTGGGTGAGGGATTAACAGTTGGCCCAACAATGTGACCATATACCTCAAAGACCTGTGACCAAAAGGACAACAAAAGTGGGCAACTCCACCACACATGAAGCTGGGCTCCAAGCTCAGAAAGAGGAAACCAGCAGGTCAGAGATCTCTTAGCAAAAATCCTATGCAATAAACTTGGACAGCAATACCAGTGGGATAAGATATTGTATCCTTTCTCCTGAGACGTCATGGAGATAGCATCCAGGATTCGTAAAGGCTGATGAACAGACGTACAAAAAACGCTCAAGATAATATGCCTGATGTAAAAGCAGGTTTACACATGGGTTACACAGGGGTCACAGCTCCTATAGGAGTAGAAAGTTGCTGATCCTAAGTTCTGACGTGTGAGATTGAGCCAAGGACCATTTGTGGAGTGTCTACAGGTGGGAGATCAGGGGGAGGAGTTGAGTAGTGTGTGCAAGCCTGGAGCATTTAAGGGTTGTCCCCCTCCGAATCAGAAGGCTCCTAGTCACACATTTATGGGCTTCCCAATCCAGAAGTGGAGAGGATGTAGAGCCCTGATTAGCAACAAAGTGGTCTTCAATTGCACTTTGAAGTTCCGATTGAAAGGGTCCATCCTGTAAGAAGGACTCATTGAGTCTCCAGCTTCCAGCCCGAAAGGATACCGGACCCCAACTGAGAAGTGTGATAGGTGCGTTGTCGGATACCGTCAAAGTGCCGATAGAGGATTCTGCAACCCAGGAGAGAGCATCATGAGATAACAGAAAATAATCAATCCAGGAATAGGATTGATGTGGGGCTGAAAATAAGGTGTAGTCCTTAACGGACGGGTGTTGCAATCTCCATATGCATGGATTGTAAGATCCTTTTGACCCTTCTGAGTGCGGGATAGGAGAGGCGTTTCATGAGCTTGCATGAGTCCATAAGTGGGTCTAGACAGGCAATCTTCAATAAACGCCAATTGACCTCGATTAGGACAGTAGATTGTAGCCAGTGACGCCTGTGACGACATGGTGATCAGTTTATAAGTTAAATGTGTATTGGTGTTGAGTTATGTTTGAGTGCGTTATGCTGTGTGACCTGGTTATGGAAAGACTATCAGCACCATCCCTCGTTATCTCCCATTGTTCTCCATTGAGCTCAGAACAGGCTGTCTGGAGTTCGTTAGCAGGTGGACACCTGTGGTGTTGAGCAGACCGATTGTCTGGGAGGGGAGGGTGGATGTGATGGGATTATATTCTGATTTCATCACTTGCTGTATAAAAGTTTGTGCAGTTGCTCAATAAAGCAGAGTTTGTTTCAACTACACTCGAGCCTTGGCTAGTGACTGGGGAAACTGGGAGCTAAGGATCTTCAGGTTGCAATATCTCCTCAGCAAGGAAGAAGATAGCGGCGGACATACTCATCCTGAGTACGGGGGTCCGTCACATTACGCCTATCTACCATTCCAGTCTCCAGTCAAAAACAGGAAATGACAATGCAGGTCGATATGTTTGCGAATTTAGCGACCATTGGGCATTCCTGGACAACACAATGCTGACCCCCCTTATTATAGAGTGTGGAGCAGAGCAATGGTACCCTGCAGGGTAACGAAAGTTAGAGAACTTCGGGACTTTAGACACCTGAAAGTATGCCTCCTGCAGAAACGCCACATCAGCTCTGAGTCGCCAAAGTACATTCAGGATACTTTTCATTCAGTTGATTCCTTTTTCTGGGGAATTCAAGCCCCTAACAGAGGGAAACCAAGCGAACCTCAGACATTCTCAGAGCGTAGTCAATCAAATCTCACAGTCAACTAAATCAGTGGTCCCCAACCCCCGGTCCGTGGATCAAATGGTACCGGACCTCCCCTCCCGGCCGCGTCCATAGTAACAGGAGGCAGGAGGGGAGGTGAGTCACAGGAGGCGTGTGTGTGTCACACGTCACGCCCCGCCCCCTGCAGTGCACACATCAAAACTCCCTGGCTGGGA